ATGCAAAAATGGCAAGAATAGTATATTGACAGAAAACTGCCAAAATTTCAGGCTAGGTTCAGAAGAAGCCATGGTACCAGGGATATCATTGTTGATATCAGATGAATCTTGACTGACAGCAGAGAATACTAGAAGAATGTCTGCTTGTGTTTTATTGATTATGCAAAAGCATTTGACCGCATGGATCATAACAAACCATGGCTAATATTGAGAAGAATGAGAACCGCAGAACATGAATTTCGCTCATAAGAAACCTGTACCCAGACCAAAAAGCTGTTTTCCAAAGAGCAAGGGAACACTGCATGATTCAAAATCAGGAAAGGTGTACATCAGGGTTGTATTCTTTTTCCATACCTATTCAGCATGTATGCTGTGCAAATTATTTGAGAAGCTACCAGTGAGCGGTGGGCTGGTAGATTCTTGTTTAGAGTCAATCAGGGCCTGGTGGAGGGCCTCGGGTGTTAGTTGTGTTTGGAATGACATTCTTCTAAGTGGTACAGCACTGGTCTGTCTATTTGCTGTACTGAGGTAACTTGGGGTTGCTGTGATACACACTATGCCGCCCGTGTGTCAAACACCATAATGGTTACCTATGGTGGACAGTGTTTGGTGGAGCTCCCAGAGTAAGACAGGCTTGGAAGCAGGCATCCACTTCCTAAACCACTTGCCTCTGGAAACTTATGAACTTAGAGAAACAACAATGGTTATAGAACAAGTTTTAAGTCTTTTGTTCATATGGTCACAATGAGTCATGTTTGACTTGATGGCACTTAACAACAACAACAGATTTTATAAAGAAGAATGTGACAGCAGTATTTGAGAAGAATCATCAATAACCTGTGTTATGTGGATGGCATAACCTTGCTTGCTGAAAGCAAGGAGGACTTGAGGCACTTGTCACAGAGGATCAAGGACTAGAGCCTTCAACATGGATTATATCTCAACATCGAGAAAACAAAAATCCTCACCAGTGGAACAATAGATAACATCATGATGGAGAAGAGATTGAAATTGTCAACAGTTTTATCCACAATCATCACCCTCGGTACCTGCAGTCAGGAGATCAGTTGCATAGTATTGGTAAAGTCTGCTGTTAGGTACCTCTCTAAAGTTCTGAAGAGCAATTATGTCAGTTTAAATACTAAGGTGTGTCTAATTCAAGCCGTAGTCTTTCTAATCACCTATACATCTGAGAGCTGGACAGTAAATAAAGATGACAGAAGATGAGTCATGGTGTCAGAGAAGAGTACTGAATATCCTAGGGACTTCTAAAAGAATAAACAAGTATGTCTTGGAGAAAGTACAGCCACAGGGCTCCTCAGAGGCAAGGACGGTGAAGCTTCAGCTCATATATTTTGGCCATGTTGTTCAGAGAGGCTTCCTAGGAGAGGGGCATCATGCTTGGAAAGGTTTAGGATCAGAGAAAGAGAGAAAGATCTTCCCTGAGATGGATTTATATAGTGTCTGTGGCAACGAGCACAAATGTGTCAGGGATAATAAGATGATGCCGGATATACAAAGTTCAGATCTGTTGTTCGTTGGGTCGCTGGATCATGCTTGATTGGAAAGCACTTAACAACAACACTATTTTATCAGGGCAGAAGCAGATCTGAGAGAGAGCCATGAGCTCCCACATCTCTGTAGCAAAGAAAACAGTATTCTTGGCAAAGACCAAGGGCACCTTGGGGGTCCTGGCATCCTAACCCTGTTGGACTGATGCACAGCGCTCTCCAGGACTGCTAGGCTGGGCTAGGGCTGAGTTGGGCAGGGCAAGGCTAAAGTGGGCTGTGGCTTAGCTGGGTGGGGTGGAGGTAGGATAAATGTCCAACTGAGATGGACAGAGGAGAGATAGGACTTTTCTCAAGGTCCTGCCTGATCAAAAGGAAGCATTGTGAAGGAAGAGGGCAGAAGTGACGAGACATCAAGAGATGCTGTGACGTGAGACTTGAGAGAAAGGCCTGGACCTTGACTTGTGAGGGTGGAGCTTCTGCCTCTTTGGATACAGACGCCTGGGGTCCACGAAGCCCTCTCAGGTAAGGCAAAAGGTGGACTTACCCTCAGTCATGCTCCTTGGAAGAAAGACTTGGCTGTCCTTCCAGTCATCACATCCCCAGAAGCCCAGTGGAACAGCTCTGCTTTGCACAGAATCACTTGCCCTGAGTCAGAGCTGATTTAGGGGCAACTGGTGTGGAGGTTTTGGTGTGATTTCCTGGGATCTGAAACCTCCCAATTTTCACTGGGAAAGGAAGCTGTGAAGATTTCTGGAGAGGCTAGAAAGGATGGATTCTTGGAGATAGGGAGCTTGGGTTTCCTCCAGTCATGGATTGAATCTGTTATATGTTGGAATCCTAACTCCTTACCTGTAACTCAAGAGCCTCGGTGGTGTAGAGGTTAAAATACTCTGCTGTTAACTGCAAAGTTGGTGGTTCAAATCCACCAGCCATGAGATGAGGTGGTCTGCTCCCATGTGAGTTACAGCATGGGAAACCCAGCAGGGCAGGTCCACTCTCTTAGGAGCCTAGCACCGCTTCAACAATGTGAGTCTGGTTTGAGAATTTGTTGGTACAGGAAATATGACCCTGTTAGGAAAGAAGGTTTTATTTGCTATGTTAATAAGCACATGTGAATTCAGAAGGGTCTATAAATATATCTCCTCCTGAGTTATTAAAAAATAGACACACACAAGAGTCCGCAATTAAGGTTGCATAGTGGAAAGTACTTGGGGGGGTGGGAGGGGTGCAGGGGGATTGTGTACCAGGGAGGGAGTCTTTCTTTTACTTTTGAAGGAGAGGAATGAACTGGGGGGCTGGGGGAGAGGGCTGGGCGGGGAGAGAAGTGCAGCAATGAATGAATGGAAATCCAAATTCTCTGTAAATGTTCATTAAAATTATTAAAAAATAAAATATAAAAAAATATACATGCAGAGAGGGGTGAGGTTTGAGAGGACAGGAGATGGGTGAAGCTTCAAGGATACCAGCAGCTTCTAGAAGAAGGAAAAGGTAAGACAGGGCCTGTCTAAGAGTGACCCCTGGTCAGAGTTGAACCTCCTGAACTGACGTTTTTTAGTGTTCCTCTGGAGAAGCCTCGGGCACTCTTGTCCAGGCAGCTGTGGAGCTTGGACCCCGTCCTAAGCCTGAGGAGGCAGGTGAGGAGGTCTTGATGCGTCTATTTCCTGGAGCTGGTATAGAACTTGCATTCCTTGGGGTCAGAGCAGAGGGTGAAGGGCAGACAGAAGCAAATAGGTGACAATTGTAGACTGTTAGCAGATGACAAAGACACTGTGTGGAGCCTGCTGGTGCTGAAGTTAGAGCCTTAACAGCTCATGCACAAACACACACCCCCACACACACACCCCACACACACACCTCACTGGAGGATGAGACAGTCTGCTCCCACAAAGCTCCACAGCTTGGAAGCCCCACGGGCACTCTGACTTGTCCCACAGGATCTCTCTAACGGGATTCACTCATGGGTGTGGGTTTAGCTTTGTCTGGAGGACTCGGTTTCAAAATATCATCAGTAGCATCTTGACTGGAAAGCTGGATCTCAGAAGGGGGTGAAGCACAAGAGGAGAAAAATGCTCCCCCGCCCCCCCGCCCCGCATCCACTCAGCAGAAGCAGGAAAACTGGCTGGTGTGAGGTCAGTTCTCACCCCGGCAGCCCCTCGGGCGTAAGCATAGACTGGTAGAGAGTGTGCAATGACAGCCTTCAGAGGACACCAGGCTTTCCCTCCGAGGTACCTTGAGGCAGGTTCAAACCAACAACTTTTGGTTAATGGTGGAGTGGGTAACTTTCTGTACCATCACCCAGGACCTCCACGCCAGAGAACCTCACGAATTTCTGGGTTCATTGAGCATGAACCTCTTGAGGTCTGAGGGTAACCCAGACTCCTCCAGATTTGGTTAGGGACTACCTTTGCTATCTGTTGTTGTTGTTAGGTGCCGTCGAGTCAGGTACGACTCACCGTGACCCTGTCCTGTGCCGTCCTCACAATCTCTGACATGCTTCTGGCTGCAGTCCCTCTGACAATCCATCCGGTTGAGGGTCTTGCTCTCCTTCACAGCCCCTCCACCTTTCCAAGCATGATGTCACTCTCCAAGAAATAGCATCTCCTAGCAACATGCCCCAAGTATGTAAGAGGAAGCTTTATCGCCTTTGCCTCCAGGGAGCACTCTGGCTGCACCTTCTCCAAGACATTATCTTTGTCACCTAGGGATGCTATAGCAGACATCCCAGAACAGCGGGTGTGTCTCAGTTCTCTAGCGCTACTGTAACAGAGATACCTCAGTAGGTGTCTCAGATCTCTAATGCTCCTAGAACAGAGATACTCCAATTGTGTCGTAATTATCTAGTGATGCTGTAACAGACATACAAGAGGATGATTTTTTTCTTTATTTTATTATATTGAGTGCGTGTACTGTCAAATCAGATCTGACTCGTACAGGAGGAGATTATCCCTTCTTTTCCAGCAAAGCATCTGGTGGATTTGAACTGCTTGCCTCTGGGATTGCAGTGCAGCTTTTTGCCACTAGGCCACCAGAGCTCCCTCCAAGAGGATGATTTTAATGGACAGAAATGAACACTGTTATAATTTAGAAGGCCAGAATTCCAAACAATGCTGACTCTAGGGGAAGGCTTTCTTTCTACCTGGACCCTTATTCTAGGAAATTCTTAGCACCGAGACCCTGGGTCTTAAAGATGTGTTCTGTTCCAAGCTCATCTTTCTCGGTGTGAGGAAGTCCCCTTCTCTGTGCACTTTTCTCACCTCTCGTCTCTTGAAGGATAAGGTGATGTAGGTCACATGCCAGGGATGCTCCCCTTCCACCAGAACAGGGCTCATCACAACATGAGTGTGATTCCATCATCCATAACGCCCCAAGTCACTTAGGATCCCGGCTCGGCCAAGTTAACTCACACTTCGTGGGATCACGGTTCAGTCTATGACAGCTACTAACCCTTTGTCCTCACAGGGTGTGCCAGGACAGCAGAGCCAAGCCACCATGGACCAGCTTCTCACCACCCCGTTCACGGACCTGTATTTGGATAACCAGACGGAGACTCCCTTAGGCACAACAGGGAGCAGCCCGGGAAGCAAGTGGTCCTTGCACGGCCAGGTCATGTTTCCGGCCACCATGATGGTGACCTTTTTGGGGATGTTGGGCAACTGTGCGGTTTTCCAGCTTCTCTGCCTCTTCCCTCGGAACAGCCCCTACACCCTCTACATCCTGACCCTGGTGGTCACTGATACCCTCAACTTTTGCTGCAAACTTGTGATCTTGTTGGAAGAAATCCTAGAGGGGTACCACCTGGTGGCTCTGCACGTCACTCCGTTCCTGGAACCTGTGTCCAGTTTCTTGGACCACGTGGGCCTGTGTCTCCTCGCAGCCCTGAGCGTCGAGATCACCCTGTGTACCTTCTTCCCCACCTGGTTCCAGCACCACCGTCCGAAGTCCACATCTGCCTCCGTGTGCGCCCTCACCTGGGGCCTGTCCTTCAGCCTGCATGTGGGGAAGAAGGTCTGTGGTGACTTTGAGGACCACCTGAAGTGTCAGTGGCTCATGCAAGTCTTTGTGGGCTTCCACTTGCTCGTGTGTGGGGTGATGTTCCTGTCCTTCGTGGCGCTCAGCTTCCAGGGTCTTCTACGACGCCCCAGATGCCGCTGCTCTGCCAGGACCCACCAGGTGGTCCTCATCACGGTCGCCACCTTCCTGCTCTGGGGCTTCTTTGTCCTGATGATCGTGTGCCTGGCAGTGCAGGAGTACCTGTGTGTGACCTTCGACCTCCTGCACCTCCTGTCCAGTGTGATCAATGCCGCACACCCTATCATCTACTTCCTGGCTGGGTGCCTGGAGAGTGGGGAGAGCAGAATGTCTCTGAAGGAGGTATTCATGTGGTTCAAGCAGAGTGACATGGAGCTGGAGAAATCAGGACACACACACGAGGGCTGCGTGGACGCCAGCTCTGAGCTGGAAACGACAGACCGGCTCAGTTCATCCCAGCAGACGTGGACATTAGCCTCCCACCCCTAGTGCTGGCCCACCCCCCACCCCCATCTCACTTCCTGCCCTCTTATCCTTATGTTCTGACCGTCCCTATCCCACCGTCTCCCCACTCACCCATCAAACTAGGCAGCTGAGTCCCAAGGCACTGTAAAGAAGCCTTCTCTCTTTTTATCAGATGAATGAATACAAGGACCTGGAAATTCCAGTTTCTGAACTGATGGTTAACTGCTCGCTGGCTCTTCTCTTTCTAGAATGAATCAACTCGGAGTCTCATCTTGTCCGCAGTCTTGACCCACTACCCTTGACCACTTCCCCTCTTACCCCTTTGTGAGCCCACCCCTTATCTGGATGTTTCCACCACTTCAGCCCCACTGTCTCCATTCTTCCAGTGAAAACTGGTGATTGAAATAGCAGGCAGATTTCCATTTAGGCAGGTGATTAAATCCATTTACCACAATGAGGAGTGTTCTCTGTTTTCATCGGGTACTGACAGAACTCACACTGTGGGCACGCTGTCCTGAGGGGGGCCAGACTTGTGGAAGGGCATTGGGCTTGGCGGCCCAGAAGGGGAGAGAAAGAAAGACACCAAGACCTTCAACAAGATGAGTTGGCATTGTGACTACAGGGGGGCTCACTGAAGCAGCCATGTGAACATGACACACAGTCTGCCCTGCTTTATTCTGTGGTAGACAGGTCCCTGTAAGCCGAATGCAACTCGGCAGAATCTACCAGCCGTGCTGGGACTCAGGAAGTCCAGGCTCGTGTACTTTCAGGGGTTGTCTCACCTTGATTTCTTCAGGCTCAGCTCCAGGCAACTTTCTGTTTTCCCCAAACAGATCGCAATAGCAACAGCTCCAGTGTCCATCAGGAACATCAGTGCTCAGTATGTCCAGTCACTCATAGAAAGACCACAGGATTGAGTCTCCTCAGAGGCACTTCAAAAAAAGGGTCTGGCAGTCCACTGCTAGAAAACCAGCCAGTGAAAAATCTTTGGAGTAAGCGGCAAGACATAGTTAATGTCATTGATGCCACGAAATGGTACACTTAAAAAAATGTTACGTTTAATGAAGGCTGCACAGTGGAGTGGACCTGTGGGGAGAGATAGTAAAACAATGGAAGAAATGTTCTTTTACTTTTCTAAGAGAAGAGCAAACTAGGGGGAAGCGAACTAGGAGGGAGGTTGGACAGGGAGAAAAGTGCAACAATGAATGAATGGAAATAAAAAAAATCTCTGTTAACTTTCACTAAAACTAATTAAAAAATACTAAAACAAATGGTAAGTTGGCAAACGTGTTACAAAATGTTGTGCTGTGTTACCCACGGCCTTTAAAGTGATTCCGTCTCACAGGGACTTTACACTGGGCACCCGAGGCTGTGAGCTGTCAGGAGATCAGATGTCCTCATCTCTGTCCCTCAGAGAAGCTGGTGGAGTCCAACGTCCAGTATTTCCGTTAGCAGCACAATATGAAACCCTCTGTGCCACCAACACCTGCAAAAAAGATTCCCAAAGAAAACTGGAGCACAGCTGTACCAGGCACACTGGCTGCCGTGAGACGGACCCAGCATGGCCGCCGCTGGTCCATCTACGTGTCTCACATTACATGCGTATTTGTAACATTTCTATATTCCGGCGTCATGTGATGAGTAATTGGCTGAAGCCCTGGTCTGAGACAGAAAAGCCTGCTGCCCGGAGCTGCTGGGGACCCTAGGACCTCCCCTGAATCACCTATGTTCATTGTTCACGGGGGCAACTCTGGGGTGGGGGAGGGGCAACTTTATACCCAGAGGGGAAAAGCAAGAATGACTAAAGGCCTCCTGCCGGGGTGGACCTGCACGATCCCCCGGTATCCACGTCTCAGGTCAGAAGCTGATTAACAAGGCATTGTAAGTTAGGAGGCTTGTTCAAAGGAGACAGCAGCATGAAACGATAGGACCCTGACATGGTCACTGCCAATTGTACAACCCAACACGTGTATCTACAATCCTTGAGTGGATCCACTTAGTTCTTCTCCAGATCTCCTTGTCATAAAATTTCCAGTAACATTCTTGCCAAGTCCCTGGCCACGCAGCTAAGCCCCTGGCCACAGCTCCTGAATAAAATGATACATTACTGGTTATTTCCTTGAACTAGAGGCAGTAGCAGCTCAAAGTGGCTGGGTAACATTCTTAACTTCCAGTTAGATGGAATCAGTGTTGCATCTCCAGGGCGGAGTATTTGTTTGTGTGGAACTGAGATCTGCAGACCTGGAGATGATGATGTTGCAGGGGCAGGAAGCAAGAACCTTCCAAGTGAGTCACCCTGAGTCAGTAACACCGAGTGGTACTGCTCTCATTTCCACGAGAAATGTAAAGGATGACTGAGAGCAAAGCATGAACAGCAGACCTGCCCCCCGCCTGTCCTGTACCGTCCTCACAGCCTCCGACACACTCAAGCCCCCCGCCCTCTCCTGTGCCATCCTCACAGCCTCCGACACGCT